ACACACACACACACACACACACACACACACACACACACACACACACACAATTAGCCTGATGTAGTGGCGTGTGCCTGTAGTCCCAGCTACTTGGGAGGCTGAGGCAGGAGAGTTGCTTGAACCCAGGAGATAGAGGCTGCAGTGAGCCAAGATCATGCCACTGGGTGACACAGCAAGATTCTGTGTCAAAAAAGCAAAAATTCAGTAAGGAGCTTATTACATTTTTGTGAGTTCAATCCTTATAGTAATAGGTATGTTTTTACATACTCTACATAATAATATGCAGTATATGGAAAAAGCATGTATTTGCACTATATAAAAAGTGTATAATTTAATATTGCTTTTTTTTTTTTTTTTGAGACAGGGTCTTGTTCTGTCACCCAGGCTGGAGTAATGGCACAATCACATGCCATGGCACAAGTTGCAACCTTGAACTTCTGGGCTCAAGCCATCCTCCCACCTCAGCCTCTGGAGTAGCTGGGACTACAGGCATGCACCACCGCACCTAGCTTTTCTTTCTTCCTTTCTTTTTCTTTCCCTTTCTTTCTTTTTCTTTTCCTTCCTTCCTTCCTTCCTTCCTTCCTTCCTTTCCTTCTTTCTTTTCTTTCTCTCTTTCTCTTTCCTTATTCTTTCTTTTTCTTTTTTATTTTATAGCAGAGATGAGGTCTTGTTGTGTTGTCCAAGCTGATCTCAAATTCCTGAGCTCAAGCAATCTTCCTGCCTCGGCCCCCAATATTGTGTTTAAACACATAAAAGAGAGACAAGCGAGTTGGCTTGTACCTATAAAGTTGTTTGTGTGGATTACAGTGTAAGTACACTGAGACTCCCCAGAATGGGTGCTGTTGCTGCCCTGTCCAGATCCCCTTTCCCAGCTGCCATGATGTAGCCTACTAACAATCACAGCTGCCCCTTCTCTTGAGAATTGTCTTCAGCCTAATAGAAGCATCCCATCTCCCCGACCCTAGTCCTTGCCAGTCCTGGGGACAGACTGGTGAGGGGTATAAAAGGCTGGTCCCCTTGCCTCAATGTGAGACTGACTCTGTGGAGTAATTGACTGGGACCTGTTCATCTTTCCTCCTTCCTCTTTCCCTCTCTTTTCAAAATTATTATTAGATACAGGATCTCACTATATTGACTAGGCTGATTTTGAACTCCTGACCTCAAGCAATCTTCCCGATTTGGCCTCCCAAAGTGCTGGGATTACAGGTGTGACCCACTGAACCTGTCCAGATGATGACCTTGACCTCTGATTGCCACGTAACTGGGACTCAGAGACCTTCTTGCATATCTGTGGGAAGGGGAGTATGCTCTGAACTGCATTTCCTCACCAGCGTCACCCATTCCTTAAGAGTCAGGCTGATAAACGAGTCAATGCTGAGCCCAAACCAAGCAGGATTAATCATTTCCTCCTCCACACTGCTGCGGCTGCATCCTGTGTCTGAGTCATTTCCTTGTCCCCTAATAGTTAACATGATGCCCAGTACAAAATAGGTATAGGGGAATATTTACTGAATAAATGTCACTGAATATGACGCTATTGGATGTTGGGTCCACTCAGTCCATTTGGCCACATTTTAAACAGCATGAGGGTAGGTTTTTTGTTTTTTGTTTTTAAGACACTATGCAAATAGGTAGAGCCAAGTTTTACTCTTTGGTGTGGGAAGGGCAGGATGGTACAGTGCAAGAGCCTGAGCTCTGCAGACACTCAGGAGTCTTGTGCTTGAATTCTAACTCTGTCCCTCTGGGTCTTGAAATTTTAGACAAATTATTTCTCTTGGAATCTCAGTTTCTGCATTTGTAAAATGGGGGTGATATTAAGAACAGCTATGTGATAGGCGATTAGGAGGATTAAATGCAATAATGCACCTAAAATTTCCATCACTGGCCTAACACAAAGTAGGAGCTCAGTAAATATTAATTTTCTCTATTCTGTATTTCCCATAGGACCTAGAACATGACAGATAGTAAATGCTAGGTCACCTTCAGGCCACCCTGGACCATCCAACTCTGGCTAAGCCATCAGCTGACTACAACTACATGAATGAGTGGGATATGTGAGCAGAAGAATCACCCAGCTGATCCCAGCCAACCTGCAGCATATAGTATCATGAGCTAATAAACAATTCCTGCTTTAAGCCCTAAGCCCTAACAATTTGAGGTCCTTGTTATACAGCAAACACTGTTGCAAACAATGGAGTTTTAGGAAGAGCCGGGATGGAGCTGGTATTTAGGAGCAACTGAAACAAGGACTCTCTTGTCCTGTCTCATGTCTTTTTTTTTCTGCACATTAGCTTCCTTCTCTTTCATAGCACATTGATTTTCTTCATGATGCAGAGAAAAAGATTGAGTTTTATAGCTGGTGTCTTCAAGATAATGGAGAAAAACTGATTCATTTCTCTGCATCTCAGATCTAAAAATCCCAGGGAAAAGACTCATTGGCCCAGCTTAGGTCAAGCATCCCTTTGGACCAATCAACTGGTGATGGGCTGGGGAGAGCACTTCAACACAACACACGCACTAGATGACATACAAGCAAAACTATATCCCAAGCACTGTTTTAAGGCTTAACAAGTGTTAACTGACTTCATCCTCATAATACAACAATCCCATCAGAGCTATTATTGTCTCTGCTTTGAAGTGAGGAAACCAAAAACAAGCCAGAGAGGTGAAGTGACTTGCCTAAGACTACACAGCTAAAAAGAGATGCAGCCAGGACTTACACCACAGATGTCTGACTCCAGAACCTAGGCACTTAATGACCACAATGGTCTGCCTCTCATATCGGGTTCCTGGGGGGTTCCAATGGATTGAGAGTGGGCAGAATGGAGGCATTCCAATGAAATATCCGGAATGCTAACCCAGGAACGGAAGTCTCTGGGGGCCCTTAGTTGCACTGTCTTCAGTCCTCTAAACGACTCTCACTAGGCCATGGCAGTGGAAGGTTCTGGATGACCTCAGAAAACAAATCTAGGATCAGTGGGTGGACACCACTGGAAAGAGAGTTTCAATTCAATGGTTGGAATTTCTTCAGAGTCAGGGATGTTAATATTCAAGGTCACACAGCAAGGCAACTGGCTGAACTGGGATTTAAACTTATATTTGAAGGAGTGCTAAGGCTTTGCTATTAACCACTGTGCCCCATCTTCATTTCCTTCTCAAAATGAGGAAAAGAATATTGGTGGAGGTGGGGCAGGGAGACACAGGGCCTACGTCTACCTACATTTCATTAAAGGCCTGTTGTTTCCCAGCAGATGGAGGCTGCCATGTGATCATCTCCAGTTACTCAGTGGGTTTGCCCTGCCCCTTGACTGGTGTGCAAATTCCCTGGGGGGAGAGTCATGTGCTCTCTTAAATGCCCAGCCTAGCGCTGTTCTGGCTGGGGCCTATGGAATGGGGTAGCTGGGAGGACGCTTCCTGTAGTTCCTCAGCTGCCTCCTAGCATGGCTTAGACTTTGGGGGCAGGGTTGGGCCAGGCAGGAAGGGGCAGCTGGGGGTTTCCTCTGGGTGCGACAGCCTGGCTCTTGTCGGGCTGGAAGCCAAGCCTAGGAAGGAATTTCCCAATCCTGTCTGAATTCTGTTCTCTCTTTTTATTTTTTTTAGAGACAGAGTCTCCCTCTGTCACCCAGGCTGGAGTGCAGTAATATGGTCATAGCTCATTGTAATTTCGAATTTTGGGCTCAAGTGATCCTCTCCCCTTAGTCTCAAGAGTGGCTGGGACTAGAGGAGAGAGCCCTCATGCCCCACTAATTTTTTTTTTTTTTTTTTTTTTTTTGTAGCGATGAGGGTCTCACTTTGTTGACCAGGCTGGACTCAAACTCCTGGCCTCAAATCATACCCCCACCACAGCCTCCCAAAGTGCTGGGATTAGAGACAGACTAGAACCACCGTGCCTGGCCTGAATTCTGTTTTCTTTGTGGAAGGAGGGAGAATAGCATGAGAAGATGGATCCTGTTCCTTACCTCCCCAGCAACTAGCCTTAAGGCAGAAGAGGAGAATTGGGGTAGTCTTTATTTGGGAGGAGGACTTTCTTATAAGGATTTGCTGCTTCTCTCCTACGAAGAGAATGATACTCTCACACCCCTAAAGCTAACAGGTGCCCAGGGAAGTCTTGGCTTACTTGGGTGACAGTGCTGTGAAACAGAAATATAAATGTGGGCCAGGTGCAGTGGCTCATGCTTGTAATCCTAACAATTTCCCATGCTGACGCAGGCAGATCTTAGGCCTAAGGAGTTTGAGACCAGCCTAGACAATATGGCGGAAGCCTGTCCCTACTAAAAAGCAAAACAAACAAACAAACAAACAAAAATTAGCCAGGCGTGGTGATACATGCCTGTCATTCCAGCTACTTGAGTGACTGAGGCATGAAAATCGTTTGAACCTGGGAGGCGGAGGTGAGACCATTGCACTCCAGCCTGGGCTCTGTCTCAAAAAAAATGTATATATATATATATATACACACAAGCATGAGTCACATATGAAATTGGAAATATTATAGTAGCCACACTTAAGAAAGTAAAGAGAAACACCTGAAATTAATTTTAATAACAAATTTTATTTAACCCAATAGGTCCAAAATAATATCATTGCAACCTGTAATTAATATAAAAATTATTAATGAGACATTTCACAGTTGTTGTACTGGATCTTTGAAATTTGATGTGTATTTTTTACTTAAATCACAATTTATTTAATTTTTTTTTTTTTGAGATGGAGTTTCATTCGTGTTGCCCAGACTGGAGTACAGTGGCATGATCTTGGCTCACTGCAACCTCTGCCTCCTGGGTTCAAGTGATTCTCCTGCCTCAGCCTCTCAAGTAGCTGGGAGTACAGGTATGTGCTACCATGCCTGGCTAATTTTGCATTTTTTAGTAAAGATAGGGTTTCACCATGTTGCCCAGGCTGGTCTCCAACTGCTGACCTCAGGTGATCTGCCCACCTCGGCCTCCCAAAGTGCTGGGATTACCGGCATGAGCCACCTTACTCGGCCATACACCACAATTTTGATTAGCCACCTGTCAGCGGCTCAATTCATGGCTATCATGTTGGACAGAACAATTTCAGACCATAGATTCTGGAAATGAGGATGCAGAAATCTCAGCATTTCTGGATCCTAAGATTGCCTTTGGGAGGACTTTAAGGTCATCTGGTCAAGTCTCTCACACACAAGGAAATAACTTTCCTCAAGAAGACCCACTGCTCCTAGCAAAGTTGATGTCCTCAAGTGTGCATCCCAGTCGGAAACTCCCCCATTCTGGCAGCCTCCTGCCAATGGAGACAGGCTGCTGACAGCCAGCCTCAAGATGTAAAACAGGGGGAAGAGGTGAGACAGGAAGACACTGGAAGAATATAGAATGGACCCTATTCTGGCAGACTTCCTCTCCTCTCACCTTTTCTCTTTCTGGAGGGATTGTCACAGCCTGGGCACAGAGCGGTAAGGGATTCTTTTGTTAACTTCCCAAACTGGAATGGAGACTCAGGCCCTCCCCTTCCCTTCTGATTCTCATCTCTCCATATTCATGGCAGCCAGCAATGAGCTAGACTCCACAAGCTACAAAAAGGTGGAGGCCCTGGGGAGGACACACTTTGGTCAGAATCCATGCGGGAAGGAACAGTTAATTCTGCCTGGGGACCCAGGGCAGGCCTCCCTGCCGAAGGATGTCTGAACAGAAGGAGCCGTGGAATAGTGGGTGGCAGCGGTGGGGAGTGCTGAGGAGGGTTAGTGATGATGAGGGATGGAAGGTGAAGGGAAAGAGCATCCAGGAAGAGGGTAACAATCCAAGAAAGGGGCAGTATGAGGGAGCTGGTCTCCTATTTTCCCATGGGCCATGGTCGCTGCTGCTCTTTCTCCTCCCCCAAGTTGCCTTGACTTTCCATATAAGAAAGGGAAAGGATATTTCTTTTTTTTTTTTTTTTTAAACAGAGACAAGGTCTCTCTTTGTTGTGCAGTCTGGTGACGAACTCCCAGCTTCAAGAGATCCTCCTGCCTCTGCCTCCCAAAGTGCTGGGATTATAGGCTTGAGCCACTGGGCCTGGCCAGAGATTCTATTTTTAAAAATCTGACTGCTGGCCAGGCGAGGTGGCTCACGCCTATAATCCCAGCACTTTGGGAGGCTGAGGCGGGTGGATCACGAGGTCAGAAGTTCGAGACCAGCTTGGTCAACATGGTGAAACCTCATCTCTACTAAAAATACAAAAAAATTGCCGGTGTGGTAGTGTGCACCTGTAATCCCACCTACTTGGGAGCTGAGGCAGGAGAATCGTGTGAACCCAGGAGGTGGAGATTGCAGTGAGCCGAGATCGTGCCATTGTACTCTAGCCCTGGCGACAGTGTGAGGCTCCATCTCAAAAAAAAAAAAAAAAAAAAAAAAAGTCTTGTTCAGCTGAGTGCCTAAAAAGACCAGCACATGGTGGATAGCTAATGAAAGCTTGTTAGTGAATGGAGGAGAGGGCAGAGAGCAGATGAAGGGGCTATCAGGCTGAGGCCAGGCCAGCTGGGGCACAGAGTGTGGGACAGATGGAGGAGCAGGAAGGTGACTGGCGTGTCCTGAGCATCTGGTTTTTCTCCTCATCTTCAGAATCTCATTCACTCGCCTGATAATGAGAGGTAGGTGAATTGTGCTCCCATTCTACAGATGAGGAAAATGAGGCTCAGAGACATTCAGTGACTATCTGGGGTTAAGGCTTCTTCTGTATGATTTTGAAAGCCCATCTTTCTAGATGCTTTCTGGCAGTCCTCACCTGGCTATTGCCAAGAACTGAGCAGTGAGCAAGTTCTTGGCAGGCACCTGCGCCTTTGGGGAGGGAAGACTGTATCCCTGGGAATTCCTGGTGAAGTGGAGGGTTCCTGGAAAGGCCTTCTGAAGCAGAAGGTCACTACCAGGCTTGGTGATCACCCAGCCACATCCCCCTCCAACCCTAGGTAAGGGTGGGAGGCAGCTCTGAGAGGTAAAGTGGCTTGCTCACATGGGGAGTGGGTGGCTGGAGGTGGGATTGACTACTCTGCCCCTGGGCACTGACTCATGGCCGTCACTGTGGGAAAGCTACTGCCCATCTTCCAGCCTTAGCTTTCCCAGCCAGGCAATGGGTAGGATTGCTTTACCAAATCTGCCTGGGCCTGGAGCCAAGGGACTGGGGCACATTGC